TCATTTAAAAAAGGAAATTGAAAACACACCACTCCTAGAAATGGTTGACATTGAATTGGCTATTGAAATGGTATCAGTAAAGTATTTATATATTCCATATTTTGTTCCATACATCAGCTTTCCTTGATGCGTTAGACTTGGACGTGTGCCATGTGAGCTGAAATGTTGCCATTTATGAAAGACCGCCTTGTTTTAAAAATGGACTAAATCTTGTAGGGTACAGGAAGTAAAGTAACTCAGTTTGAATGCAGGCACATCTCTTTTTGCCCCAGCTCCTGCATGCTTTGTCTCTTCCTTGTTTGGTTCAGAAGCTAACTGTGCTTACAGTAAATATCAGTGTTCACCTAAAAGCTAAATATAGTGATAAAAAAAACACCTCTACCATAAAAACTGAATGAACAGCAAGAACAGTATAGTTCTATGAACCAAGAAATCCACAGAAGAAATATCATAATTTAAAGTTGGTTTTACAACATTATTTAATTTTAAATGAAGCAAAATACTTCTGTGGTTAAATCACAGTTCTTCACTCTATGCTGTAAAGGAGATTCAAGAATGTGTATTTCAAAATGTTTTACTTGGGTTTGTTTTTAAATCAAAAATATAATCCAAAGCAAATGCAATAGATCTCTGCATACTTGAAACATGTTTTCTAAATTTATTCTAAGTCTCTTGCTGCTCCAGAGGGTTGTGTGTATGGATTAGGACTAGACCATTATTTCACCATCTTTCTCCATCCTGAACTGATTGCAGTGAACACTACAGAATGAGTTGCAGATGTCTCCTTTTCCTTCCAGTTTGGAGGACCTCTGGTTTCAGTCCCATTTGATCTGAACTGGGCTAAGGAGCACAGGTCTGTCATTGTTTAAAAGGATTCAGTGGAAGAAATTGTTGCACCTGAAAGAATTTACTCCCTCTGTACATACAGGCTATGCTTCTAAATGGGATGCATGAAATGCTGCCTGTATGAAACTTTCTGGTGCATCTTTCTTAATTCAGGGTTATTATTTGAAATGTCAAGGTCCATCTGAAGAAAAAGATAACCAGAACTAACTTTGCAAGTGGGGAGCTTGGTTTGACTCAAGAGCATAAACATGTATTTGAATTCAAGTAATTGAGGTATTTTAAGACATGGTGAAAGTTCTTCTGAATTTCAGGCAAAACTCAATGTATATGTCTCTGTATTGTAAAACTGGAGCACATGTATGTGAAATCCTACCCAGGCAGGTTTTGATATGTTAAAATCAGAGTTTTTCCTCTTGAGGGATTCTTTCTTCCCCTACCAAATCCTCATTACCTCTGAATGTATGAATAGCAGAATATCCACTGAGAGTTAGTATGAAGAATGTCCATACATTAAAAGCCTCATGAAATATCATGTCTCAAAAGAAATTTGCTTGTGAATATGACTTAAATATCATTATGTCTTTAGCTTCCATATCATCAGGCTATTTGTCAGCCATTGCAGTAAAAAGTGTTGGTTGTTAGGCTTATTTTTTTAATTAATAAAAAATAAATAACGAATTATAGAAGCTGGAGTTGTCAGTTGTCAGACCCCAAGAGCTTTATTAAGATCAGATCACAAGAACTGTTAATGCTTTTATCAGTGGTGGCTCTGATTTGTGGCTCTCCATGACCACTTCATCCCCTGAGTGATCTGTCTTAGAGCTGCTGAGGTTCTCTGGAGCTGTGGGTGGTGGGACAGTGGTGGGTGCTGTAGACAGGTGCTCTCAGTCCCATCAGTCCTTCAGAGTTCAGGGAGCTGTATGAAAAGGTAAGGAACAGGTGAAATAGTAGCAGTAAGAGCAGAATGGCTCCCACGGGGGTTTTGTTATTAAAGAGGCTGGAATGGAGAGTTGTAAAGGCTGTTCTCCTGGATGGTGTGATGGTGTCTTTCAAGCACGTGGAAAAGCTTTGTATTTTGCATTGTACTTCTTCAAAAGCCCTTTGTCCTTGCCCCATGGAGAATCTCTGTTCTGACAAAACGACCTTGTACTCTGGCAAGAGATGTTTTGGGGTGTGCTTGAAAGGAGCCTTAATATCTCCTGAAAGAAGGCAGGACTAGTATAGTAACAGACAGAGAGAAATCTGCCTGCCTGCATTCCTACGGTAGGAGAGTAGAGTTTAGGGCTTTGGAAGGGAGAGAGAGGTAACGAAAAGGTAAGTGGTAATGTAAATCTTGTTTGTGTTTACATCTAAGAGGTCCAAAGAAAGGTAATTAAGAAAATCAAACCTAATGTTAGTAGATTTAGATGAGAAGTACAGGGGTGTGTGGCTACGTTCAGCAATCTTCAGACTGGGTGGCAAACTGTTGGAGGTAGTAAAAATCTTTGGATCGTGATAGAGAGTAACCTGAAATTCGAGGGCAAAACCAGCACACTCTTTTCCCACTACCATGTTCAACGTCAGTAGCAAAACATTGCCAGCTTTGTGGGAAAGTCTCCCCACTCTGATCTGAGCGGGTTTCTGATCAAACCTGAACTTTGCAATGCAGTGAAGGGAAGGGCGGGAGCAGGAGCCGTGCAGTTGGTTACAGCTCAGGATCGCTTTAGTTATCACCAGCTGAATTGGAGGATACAGGCTGTGCCTGCTTGCAGCGAGCAGCAGTCTGTTAGAGGAGCTCGATTTCTCTCACTCCTTCTTCCATCCACCTCCGTCTCCTCTGTGCCTGTGTCTGCGCTCCCACATGCTTCAAATCTGTGTACCTGGACTGCCTTCCTTAACAGTTCAATGTGAGTGTTAGCAGAATGAAAACCAGATGGACCAGCAGTTCCCACTGTTATCTCCCCACCAGCTCTGGCAAGCCTCCCTTTCTCTCTCCTTTCTTGGCATGGGAGAAATATTTGCCTTTATTTAGGAGGGCTTGGGCTCACTGCTGTGCCTCTTTCCCTCTGTTGCAACATGAGCTGAAAGCTATTTATTCCCTTGTTGCTGAGGTTGGTTGAGGTGAGTGCAAGATGAATTCAGCTATTAAGGAAGTAATTAACATTTCAAGATGAGTTTTCATAGTTCTTTATAATAAATTGATGGCTTATTGAAGATAGAGATTTAACTGGTTTAGTATACTGATACAGAAAGGAAATATAGAGAGAATTTTAGAAAACTGTTTTTGTTTTCCAGCATGTAATAATTTACTGTTTCTTGATTTACAAATCATACTTCACTTACCTGTGTAACAACCTTAATATTTAGAAGGTAATCATTGTTGTTACTCTTCACAGTTGAGGTTTACTAACCTTAGATCAACACTACAGATCCTATAAAACTGTATCTTTATTCCCCTCATTCTATTCTGGGTTTGTTTCACTGCTCATCTTCCCCAAACTTGTCTCTAAATTCTATATGAAATTACTCCCTTTCCCTGAGAGCTGAAACATTGCCTGTAGGCATTTCAACAAAGGTTGAAGATGGCTTTTATAATTGCACTCCCTGACATGCTGCACCTCTGGGACTTACTACTTACTTCCTCAGTTTCTCCAATTTCAGACAGAGAAAGATTGGTATCTGTTATGTGTTGTTAATTTTTGGAGGGTATAGGGGCCGTTTTGATTTTTTCCCTTCCCCCCCCCCCCCCTTTGTTTTTAACTCTCTCATATTTAAGTTTTCTGATAATTAAGTGTTTTGAGGCTCTTTTAAACATACCTGTTCTTTGTTAAATGTGTGCATTGCATTCAATTTCTGTTATTGTCTCTCAGAGCAAATTTCAGATATTATTACATTGAAATTTGTATGTTGTTAGTAAGAACAAGGAATTGTGTCACAAAGTGAAGTGACAGAATTTACAGAATGTGACATGTTTTGAATTAAAACCACAGACTTACGTGCTTGCCCATTAGCAGCAACACTTACTTGCTTTACAGAATAGTTTTGTGGAGCTCAGGAAGACTTCTTTTGGGCTGTGTATAAATAGCTCCTACTCCCCAAAGAAGGGACTGAAGAATTTGACTTATTCCCATTCAAGCTAAACATCATTGTACTCATCTCTTTTCAAGATGGCTTGCTAAACTCCTGGCATGAGTGAGAAAGCCTTAATTTTGCCTTCAGCTGGTAAATTTTCCTGTGTTTTGCCCATACTTAATAAATGAAACATATGGGCTTGGATGGTTTAAAAAAGACAGCTTAAGGTAGTGTCATTCAAAAAGATGTTGGGAAAAAGAGTGCACTTCTGTAGCTTTTGTATCATATGTGTTGTATATTTAGATCTTCAGTTGCAAGAGAAGTGTTAAGTTTTTTCCTGTTTTTGCCTTATGTTTGTTTTGTTTTCCTAGGGAGGTATGTTCCTGCTTATCTTGCAGGTTTTGAGCATTGAAAGTTGTTCTTAATATGTGATGGTGAAAACTTACATGCTTATTTGAAAATAATTGTGTGCATATGAGATGATTGACATGCCATTTTGGCATGTTGTGTTTATTTTTCTGGTGAATATGAGAATAACCACAGGCACTGTGGTACAGTGATCCAGAGGGTGTGTGTATTTAGCATAAGTTGAACATAAGATTACAAAGAGAACCAATGGAGAGGGCAGCAGGTGATACAAAGAAAAGACATGAAGAGAGCTTTTTTCAACCAGTATTCAACCCAATATCTCACCTGTACTAAAGAGCTTCAGGTTTTAGTTTTGGAGGAGATGTCATAAGGGGATTTATTATCTTCCTGTTCCTTCATCTGTTTTTTCCTCCTGGCTAACATGAGAGCCTTGAAGGGAGGTGGCATTATTGCAGCTCTAGGATTGCTTAGGAGGTAGCATCTGCACATGCTATAAATAAAAACAAAAGATAATGCAGCACTGCTACAAATGAGGTCTTACCATCTGTGTTGCACCTTCTTAAGTAAGGTCTAGATGATGCAATTTGGGAAGAGCACGCTGGAGTAGATAATCAGGTGTAATCTTTCACAGCAGATGCTGAAATGGCTCAATTCTTGTATTAGCTTTTAAGTTTTTGTCAGAGGGGGTGTGCTTGGGGAAATAAACCGGTGTGTTCCTGTGGTGTGTGTTGCAGATCGCACTGAGAAGCATTCCACAATGCCAGACTCACCTGTGGATGTGAAGACACAATCCAGGCTGACGCCTCCAACCATGCCACCTCCTCCCACTACCCAAGGAGCTCCAAGAACCAGTTCATTTACGCCCACAACGTGTAATTAGTCTTATTTTCTTCCTTTTCTTCCATCTTCTTTGTATTCTATGTCAGAAACCAAAATAGGTGAAGGGAAATGTGCATGAAGTAGCAGGAATACCATTTGATTGTATTGGGATAAAGTAATTAAACAAAACAAAGCTCACAGTAGATTAATGCATCTTTAAGGTATTAAGACATTCAGCTGAGAGTTGTGTTAGTATTTCACTGATCACTGGCTCACAGTGTCGAAGAACAGTGAGCACTGGCTTCCCATGTACTTAATGGTCAGGTTAGCCCTCTTGTGAGAAGGACAGAAGACCTTCTTCTCTTACATGTCATTATGTTATTTAAATGATCCCATTCCCTTTAGTATAAAAACTTCAGGGAGTTTGTTTGTTTGTTTTTAGTTTTTATAGTGGAGATAATTCATAATGAAAAAATACTAATCTTCCTTCTGCTTATGTTTCAGTGAAGAATTCTGATTTCAGTGCTATATAATGTCTAGTTAATATTGATATAAAACCAAAATTAGAGTACTTTCATAATTTTTATCTAGAGGTTTCTAGTCTGTTACGACTTCTCTAAATCACTTAGAGCTGCATCTCTGTCTCAGCTTATTGGTGTAAACATGTAACAAACTCTACTAGTCTTGATGTATGCTGCATTCATATCAGCATAACTGAGATTTGAATCTGGCACATTGTCTGGACTATTCTTTTCACAGCCATGCAATGAGCCACATTTCTCATACTAAGATTTAGCTGCAATTTTTTTGGTCTCTTTTATACTGCCTTGTAATAGTATAAACATGAGAATGTGTTTACATTTCACGTTTTAAATAAAACATTTTTAGAATAGTAGAATACATATGCCTAAACAGAATGAAGGCTGCATCTTCTATTTGTCTTGCCTAAGTCTGTTTAGTCCTTTTCTCTCTGTTAAATGCCTTATTTAAAATTCACCTCTATACAGAAGGCCAGCTGGAGGCCTTTGTACTACTTATCCCAGGGAACTCTGTCCTGACAATTTATGTTGAACTTAAACAGTGAGGAGGGTTTGTGCCAGCTATTCATATAAACTCACATTTAACCCAGTGACCCTGATCCTGCAAAGATTTGTCTGTGTTGCTTAACTCCAGCACCTGAATCATCCAGAGCTTCACACTGGAGCTCTTTCAGTCTGAAGTTAAATTGTTTCTAGGTTTTTGCAAGATCAGGTTCTTGCACATTAAGCTTTCCAGTGTGATGCCCTGCCATCAGTTCAGGATGATCTTTGGCCATCATAAAAGGAATACGACAATGTTCTTTAATCACACTTACATTCCTCGCAAGGCTTCTGGATGTTTGTTTATTTGATTGAGTTCAGCACTTTGGAAGGTGTGTGAATCACAGCTTGAATTTTGGGGCTCCTTATTTGAAGACTAAAAGTCTTAAAAACCCTGATTTTATTTGCTTTTTACCCTGTCAGATTTTGGAATTTGGGCTTAGTTGTTCCAGCCTGACTGTAAACAGTCACTTTTATCAGTGTGTCTGTTGCATTTATTATTACTACAGCGGGAATGCTTGTAGGCCAGAAAGATCTGACTTGTTTTCTGGTCTAGAATATCTTTGTTTTCTTTGGTTTAGATGATTAAAAATTCTTGACGTGTTGTAGTTTGAAATTTTAAATGCTAAATTCTTTTGGATTAGCAACATGGTTTTGTTTTAGAAATTACACACAACTTTGCCAATTGGCAAATTCAGATATTATAAGGAAAGCACTGAAATCATGGGACTATTTCATTATTTCTTTTGTTGTGGGAGGAATCTTTATCAGTGTTTCTTCTCTGTGTATCTATGCTAGGTGATGAACTCCACAGTTCTCTGCTTTCTTGATCAGCCCCAGCACCCTCTGCCTAGAGCAGTCCCTTATGGGTGACAGTGTTGTTGGCTGGTGTCAGGGTAGATCAGCAGGACATGTTGCTATTCTCCCCAGTCCTCATTTTCTAAGTTCCTGGTAGGATGACTTTTGGCTATGTGAGCTCCTTGCAATCACAACGTATTTGTTTACTCAGATACCCCACCCCAGTGCAGCACTCAGAGCATGGCCTGGAGCTTCATGGGGAGCTGAACTTACTGAGGCCAGCTTCTTTCTATTTCTGCATTTTCCAATCCTTGTTCTCACTAGCCCATGCAGCCAGAATAAGCAATCAAAAACTAGGAGAAAACACAAGCAGAGGCTAGATAACAATTCGCATAGCTTTTTCTGTAATTCCTCTGGAAGGCAGTGACTAGGGCAACAAAAACTCCTTTGAAGGTTTGTGGCAGTGATTTAAATATAGTAATAGGTAGTGATTTATAGCTAGTAGTAGGTGTCCACCCTAGAAAAGGACTTCCTGGTTAAAGATAAGGACAATCCATGAAGAAAATGAGATGAGAATGGGATATTTGGCTTCAGAGAGGCTGGTCATTGAGAAACATTGGGAGTATTTAAAGTTGCTAGCTTGTCCTGGTTGTGCTTTTAAATAGGAAACAAGTTAAATGGATACTCCTATGCATTTTTGACTGTAGACAAGTTCCTGATTTTTGATGATTTTTTGAATGGGTTCTGAGTGATTAAAAAAAAAAAAAAATCAGAAAATTTTTCCAGGGCTGTGGCCCATTGAGCGCAGCTGTTGCTGGGTACAGTCACATGCTGTGTGCCCACACCTTCCAGTGCACTAGTACACATGTATTTCTAGGGGAGCCATCCTTTTTCTTGCTGTTTGCTGTCATTTTAGCAAATCAGATTCAACCTCAACGGCATATGTTTTGAGTGTTGCTGTTCCAACTAACCTGAGTGGAAGAGGATGTCCTCAGTTTGATTCTCTTTTCTCTTCTAGTGTGTGGATAAGATTCAAACTGAAATCACTGCCAAAAACTCTCTGTTGTCTTCAGTATGTCTGCATGCATCTCATTGCCACAAATTTTGAATGCTTAGTACTTCAGATAGTTATTCTCAAAGCAACCTTGCAACAAGAGGGAAATGCTTTCTTATCCTTTTTAGAGATAAGGCATGTGAAAGCAGGGAGATTTGCTCATGATCTCTGGGAAGTCTTCTGATGTTTAGCTTGCTGCCCTTGCTGCAAGGCTTCAGGACACAGAGCATTGGCAGCATTTGTACCTGCACAGACAACTTTGTGTACTCCATATGTTAGCAGCTAGGGAATCTGTATTGGAAAAATTAACCTTCTCATTGGGTGGTGTAAGGTTAAAACGTGAAAGTCCTGCTTTATAAACACAGCTGTCAGTTGTGTGTACAAAACACAAGTAAAAATATTCAGAGATAAACTGAGGCTTCGTGAAATATGTCTGCATGTTTTTTTATACCTCAAAGAGCAATTTTTTTTTTTTTTTTGGTCTTCAATCATACATGCACTCATGCTTTTTATCTCTCCATTTTCCTCTCTCTCTTTTTAAAATCCTCTGAAAAAAGGCTGGTGTTCAAATGGTGCTTTTCAGGTCCAGGAGCATTTTGAAGGGGCTCTGTGAGAGGCAGCTGCTGTTATTTCCAATCCTTACAACATTCATCACCAGCTACTGGGAAATAGATATAAACTGCAGACTGTCGCTCTGTCTAAAGGCTAATTATCTTTGATTGTTCAACTTAATTAATTCTGAGGTCAAGTGCAGAAAACATAAGCTGATGGATTTTCCCCTCTCTCCTTTTTCTCTCTATCTCTTCCCCAACCCCAGTCTTTATTTTATCCTCTGTCTCTTTTTCTTTCAGTAACCAATGGCACTAGCCATTCACCAACAGCATTAAATGGAGCTCCATCTCCTCCTAATGGCTTTAGCAATGGGCCATCCTCTTCCTCTTCCTCTTCTCTGGCTAACCAGCAGTTACCGCCAGCTTGTGGAGCTAGGCAGCTCAGCAAACTGAAGAGATTTCTTACAACCTTACAGCAGTTTGGCAATGACATTTCACCAGAGATTGGGGAGAGAGTGCGTACCCTTGTGCTAGGACTTGTGGTAAGCAAGTATTTTTTCTATTCTTTTCCCTCTTCCTTGCTTGATGTGTTTATTTTATAAATGAGTGGTTGGGTCACATGCGCTGCATTCATTGTACTTTAGGGGTATCAAACATGCAAGAGTGAAGCTCCAGCTCCTGCTGACAGAGCTAACATGAGTAGCCTGACTAGCTTCCCACAAGTGTCAGCTATTCCCTACTAGGTATAGCCTTGACTATTTTTTCCAGTATATTGTTATGGTGTAATGATGTGAGAAAGTTTTCATTCTATACTGGCAGTACCCCTAATGTAGACATACCTAGAAGCCTGTAATGTAGTAAAATATGGTTTGACTTGCCTAGTTTAGTTGGATGGGGAAAGAGAGCCCTGTGTATATAGTGTCAATTGTTAAGAGGGTGAGCTGAGTATGTTTGGACTGGAGTTATGCAGTGCAAAACCCTTTCTCAGTATCATCGAACCAAACAATTATGAACCCAACAAGGCACTGATGCTACTTAAGTCACTTTATTGATAAGGTTATCTCTATTTGATGGTATGGCGTAATGAATCCAGCTCTTTCTTACCTACATCTGTCAACTTGGGCTGCCCTCACATGCAAACAGTGAAATCCAGCCCTGGGTTCTTTTTACTCCAAGTCCTCTCTCTGCCAGACATTGTTGTCTCCCATGTATTTCCTTCAGCAATAATTGGATGTACTGGGGAAGATGCTATTGTGGTGCTGTAATTTACATCTGTTCTGAGCAGCTGCAGTTGCCGTTGATTTCATTTGGAGCAGAGACTGACAGCACTGTTTAGCACTAAGGCTGAGGGGTGACTTCACAATCTTTGCTTGTATCTTCACAAGCCCTACCTGACAGCAGTGGATGTTCCTTCACTTGGGTCTGTGTCAAAGGGAAGTTTAATGTAGGCAGTATAACATTTGTAACTCTTGCTCTCCATTTGTTTCCATATGCAAAATAAGTGTTTAATGGGGTTTTGCTTGTCACATGGTTCTCTGTGGATGGGGGAACAAGTAAAGAAGCTGAAGGTGGCTTTGGGAACATCCACATTCCACTGATTTTCATATAAAAACTGTTTTCCCACTGTTATTTACAGTTAATTTCTAACTTCATTTGAGGTCTTAGGAGCAAAATAGGATTTGTTTCCTTGGGAAAATCCATATATGCAATTCCCTTGGTCAACCCTGCCAGCATGTGGAATTTATGATTATGACTTCATCTCTAAAGTAATGACTTTCTTACATAGCCTAGAACATAGTAAACAGTCCTCTTTAAAAAGAAAACAGTAGAAAAATGTGAAATGAAAAAAAAGTTTAAAAAGCAGCTTTAACTGATGATTGAAATATAAAAGCCTTTGCATACTTTACACTTGAGAGCTTAAACTGTACTCTAAGAAACAGGCGCTGAATATCTGAGATGCTCATGCTTTCCTTTGTGTATTTTAATAAGGTAATCATTTAATATGCAGCATGCTTTTCTTAATTCTCTCACCAATATCAAGTTGTTTAGCAATTTCAGGGTTCTTCAGTTACTGTTTCTCTTGCTAAGTGTTTTCATTATTTTATCACCAAGGCAGATTTTTTTTTCTCAACAGAATTCTACTTTGACAATTGAAGAATTTCATTCCAAACTGCAAGAAGCTACTAACTTCCCACTGCGACCTTTTGTCATCCCATTTTTAAAGGTATTGCACAGTTCAGTGATCTGGAAAGTATTTCAAACCATTTTGTTGCTAGGTCACAGATGTGTGTTACAGTTTTTCTTTTTAAGAGAGTCAGAGAAATGAATAACATGTAAGGGCTACTTTCCATAGCTTAGTGCATGTAACTGCATCTGACTATATGGTCCAGGATCATTTCTGGGTGCTCACAGGAACTGTCGGTTCCCTAATTCTATAATCACTGAGGATTGTTTTATATTTTTCATTTGTAGGTATAAAAGCTTTTACAA